AATTCTATTCCATTCCATTCCATGTTCTATTCCATTCCATTCCATTCCATTCCATTCAGTTCCATTCCATATTCTGTTCCATTCCATATTCTGTTCCATTCCATATTCTGTTCCATTCCATATTCTGTTCAATTCCATAATTCTATTCCATTCCATTCTCCTATCCCACTTTCCTATTCCTTATTCAATTCCCCATTCAATTCAATTCAATTCAATTCCATTCTATATACTATTCTATTCCATTTCATTCCATATTCTATTCCATTCCATATTCTATTCTATCCCATTCTCCTATCCCATTTTCCTATTCTTTATTCAATTCCTTATTCTATTCTATTCTATTCGATTCCATTCTCCTATCCCATTCTCCTATCCCATTCTCCTATCCCATTTTCCTATCCCATTTTCCTATCCCTTATTCTATTCTATTCTATTCTATTCTATTCTATTCTATTCTATTCTATTCTATTCTATTCTATTCCATCCATTCCATTCCATTCCATTCCATTCCATTCCATTCCATTTCATTCCACTCCATATATTTCCATTCTCTATCCTATCCTAAAATGCGGTGAGCAGAAAGCAGGCGAGAGAGGGATGCTCCAGCCCTGTTCTCACCTGCTGCCTTTTCTCCTCCGCCTGGCTCAGCAGGAAGCCTTCGGCCAAGGCCACCGCCTGGGAGCTGGTCTCTGCTTTACATTCCCGCACCCAGTTCTTCATCTCCGGGGGCAGGATGGTCAGGAACTGCTCGAGGATCACCAGGTCCAGCACCTCGGCCTTGGAGTGGACCTCCGGCTTCAGCCACTGGTGGCAAAGATCGTGGAGCTGGCTGCAAACCTCTCGGGGACCCTTAGCATCCGGGTAGGCAAACTGCCGGAACTGTTCTCGCCGGACATCGGAACTGGGCGTGTCCTTGATCGGGACCTTCTGCACCCCAGGTTTTCTGCTGCTCGAACCCCGGAGAGGATAAGGAGCCCTTTTGGCCTCTGGGCAGACCTTCTTCTTCCCTGATTTCTTCTCCGATCTGTGATCTAGCGCGGCCTGTGATGTGGCCATCTTTGGCCTGTCCTGCAAGGTCATTTCCGACGGCATTGTTCAAGGCCTCCTCTTCCCGACAAAGACTGGCCCAAACAGCGGGGGGGGGGGGGGGGGGGTTGGCAAGTCCCGCCAAGCCCCCAAAAAGGGCTTGGATAGACCCTTGTGACAGAGGACACTGTTATGCAGTCCTTTTGCAGCTCCTCTGCCTGCAGACAAGCAAAAAAAACAAAAACACCAAGTTTCAACACATAAAATATTTCTATGGTCTTTTTAGAGTTGCCAGCAGAAAGAGAGGGGGGAGCAGTGCGGCAGCTTGGAAATAGAAAGTGCATTCCACACATAGTTTTTCAAAGATGGTAACTAGGTGACTGAAGTTTCTGCTGGGCAAAATTCTAATTTGGAGAACATGATTGATGACTCTGGGCTATGGATGTGTCCCATTGGAGAATATGAAATATGATACACCCAGGCGGTGGGAGGAAAACCAGGGTCAAGGGTGACAATGAATTAAGTGCCTCAGAGTTGGCTATACCCAGGCAGTGCCGGACATGTTAACTCCCAATAAATCCTTTTGAAGTTTTGGAAGTTTGGCTCGAGACTCATGATTTAATTGGGGTAATTCCTGCCGGAATCCTGACACCAAGACCTGATTCACATGCTGTGGGTAAAAAAAACCTTAAACCCAAGTTAGCAAAAGACAACCGCTGTGTTCACATGATCTGCCTAAGCAAAGAAATCCATGGATGAGCTTCAAAAATTTCTCTGCCCAGTTGCTGGGTGGATGTTGCCATGGTGGGCCTTCTGCACCATGGCGGCGGGAGGGAGGGGTGTTTTTGCGCTACCCAGGCTCCGGAGGCTTTCCTGGAGCCTCCGGGAGGGCAAAAACGGCCTCCCCCAAGCTCCGGAGGCTGGAAACAGGCCTGTTTCTGGCCTTCCAGGTGGCCCATCTGTCACCCTCCCCAAGCTCCGGAGGCTTTCCTTGAGCTTCCAGGAGGGTGAAAACAGCCTCCCCCGGGTTCTCTACAAGAACCCTGAGAGATAGGCTCGACTGAGCGAAGACCTTCAGACCCCTACAGCAGAGTTTCCCCAACCTTTCTGGGTTGGTGGCCGGAAGGGAGGGGGCAGGGGCTTTTACACATGTGAATGAGGCTGCATGATGCTCTCCGTGAGGCTAGCACCTATGTGATGCTTGCCACGATGCTCACAACACTAGCGTGAGTGAGTGTGGGTGTGCGCGCACACACGCTGGCCAGCCACTCTCGAGGCCCAGTGGCTGTGATTGGGCCGGGAGTGGGCCACGGTCTACAGGTTGGGGACCCCTGCCCAAAAGAGCTTTCATGGCTGAAAGGGGCCCCAAACCTGCATTTCGCCATTCCTAGTCTGGCTCTTTCCCCCTTGTCCCTTCCCCTCGCTCTGGGGATGAAGGGGGAACTATCCAAGGATAGGTCCCTCTATGGCAGTGGTGACTAACCTTTTTGGGCTCCTGTGCCAAAAATTGTGCGCGTGCTGGCACACTCGAGCTCGCGTGCCAGCACCCAGAAGGCAATGCGCCCACCCCACATCCCCAACGCATCCCTCCCTCCCACCCCCGCCGCCCCTTACCTGCACTGCGCCTCACAGTTGATTTTTTTGGCCAGTTCAAGGCCTTTCTCGGCCTCCCAAAGGCTTGAGGAAGGCTTCTGCAGGCTTCTACAAGCTTTGTAGGCTGAAATCTAGCCCCGTTTTGTCACTTCCTGAAAATACCGGAAGTGACAAAACAGGGCTAGATTTCGGCCTGCAAAGCTTGTAGAAGCCTGCAGAAGCCTTCCTCAAGCCTCTGGGAGGCTGAAAATCAGCTGTGAGGCACACACATGCGCAGTGAGGTAAGTTTGCCTGAAGCTACAAATGGCTCTGCATGCCACCTGTGGCACGTGTGCCATAGGTTCGCCATCACGGCCCTAGGATGCTATACCCAACCACCATGCATGTCTTGGCACATTTTCCTGCTCCACTCTTAAGGCACAAACGTCAGTATGTACCTACCTTAAGGCAGGGGTCCCCAACCCCCAGCCCATTCAGAATCGGGCCATGCATGGAGTGGGCTCGCACGCATGTACGTGGGCAGCTCCATTTGCACGAGAGGCAGGTGAGCGTGTCCATGCGCGAAGCTCCATTTGTGCAAACGGCGTGCCTGCGAGCCGACCGCTTGTGCAAATACAGCTGTGCACACCTGTTGCTCGCATGGAACCATCCCCACTCCCTATCATCACCGCTACCGGTTTGCAAAGCCAGAAAGACTACTATTTTAAGGTACAAACGTATGTACAAAATAGGCGGTAAGGAAGAAGGGGAATTCAGACACAAAATGGATTACTGTATGTAGAAAACAAACACAGGGTCAATAAAAAAGCACTCAAATACTTACACATCAACACACAAAGTATGAGGAATAAACAGGGTGAAATGGAAATCCAAATACATGAGGGCAGATATTATATTGTTGCCATTATATAAACTTGGGGGGATGAAACCCATGAATGGAACACACAACTAGAAGGATTTAAATTGTTTAAAATAAACAGGCCTAATAAAAGAGGAGGTGGAGTTGCGCTACATATAAGAAATAACTATATCTCTACAGAAATAAGAGTAGAGCAATGGTGCAAACCCCCTTGAATGCATTTGAATGACATTGCAATAGGTGTATATTATAGGTCACCTAACCAAACAGAGGAAATAGATTTAATTTTTGGCTAGTCAGTTAACTAAAGCATGTAGGAAGCACACCACAATAGTAATGGGGGACTTTAACTACCCTGACATCAACTGGGAGACAAACTCTGCACCTAGTGGAAGATCAAACAAATTCCTGACAAATCTACCAGATGCCTTTGACTCCCTAAAGATAGAGGAAGGAACTAGAAGGTCAGCCATACTGGACTTAATTCTGACTAACAGAGATGAAATGATAGATGTTGAAGTTATAGGAACCTTGGCGGGTGGGTGGGAATGATCATGCAACACTGGAATTCAACATTATGCAAGCACAAGCATAGAACAAAGTCAAACTAGAGTTTTGGATTTTTATAGAACTGATTTCAATAAACTTAGCTTGAGAAGATTCTCAAGGGGAAAACAACCTCAGAAGCTTTGGAAACTTTGAAATGTCGGAGTATAAAAGCCAAGTCTAGCACAATACCAATGAAGAAGAAAAACAACTCCTCTTCAAAAGAAACCGGCCTGGCTGCATAAAAACTCTTTGATAAATGAAAAGACAAAAAGGACAAGTACAAAAAGTGGAAAGAGGGCAGAATATCAGCAGATAGCCCAAATCTGTAGAGATGAAGTCAAGAAAGCAAAGGCTCAGATTGAACTAAAATCAAAAACAACCCCAAAACAAAAGCTTCTTTCAACACGTAAACAAGCAAACAAACAAACAAACCATTGAAACAATTGGTCCATTAAGGGGAGAAAATGGCAAGAAGATGACAAGCAGCAGGGAGAAAGCAGAACCCCTTAACTCATTTTTCTGCATCTGTCTTTACACAAAAGGAAAGAACAGTCCAACCTATCAAAAAAATAATAATACTGTAAAATGCAGATTAGGAATGAAAGTCAAAATAAGCAAGAAAAGGGTAAAAGAATACCTATCCACTCTAGGAGAATTCAAATCATCAGGACCAGATGGATTATCTCCCCCCACCCAAGGTTCTGAAGCAGCTGGCAATCACAAAAATCAATCACAAAATCTCCAGAACCGTAAAGTCTGCAAACTTTAAATTTGGCATGTATGTTCCTCTTGGCTTCTAGGTGCTCGCTAAGAAAGGATTTTTCGAAATGACCATCAGAGCATTAGTATTTCCTATATTATTATTATTAACGTGCTCTGATGCTAAGGAGTACTCCCCCTCCCCACCTGAAAAGAAATCTGTTCCAAATGCAAAACACAAGCAGAGGAGTTTCAGTTTCAAAGCAGCAACCAGCTTGAATATGGAACAGTTGAGCTAAGCCACGCCCAGGCTCCTTGCTGTCTCCTTCTTGCTCACACAGCAAATACTGTTTCAGTTTCCATGCTTCAGTTTCCAAACAGCCCTCAAGTCTCTCACGCACTGACAGGAGGCTAGCCAGACGAATACCGATGGATGCTGGTAGGTAGAGGCACAATTTCGCCACCTTATTTTCCACCCCAAAAACTAAACCCGATCACATAGTTTCGCAGCGAAGCACAGGTTTCGAGCTAGTTCATGAATAATTTTGCATTCAGACAGGAAGTTGTGACTTCTTTTTTTTTGTACCTTTATAAAAAAAAAAGGCAGGATTCAGCTCCTCCCCCATCATTACTTTCATGCAACTGGTTCTTTTGTCGTATTGTAATGCGGTGTTTCTCAACCTTGATGATGGGTGGATGGCAACTTCATGGCTGGCTGGAGGAATGCTAGGAGTTGAAATCCACTGGAGGATTTCCAAGTTGCCAAGCCTGAGAAACCCTGTTCTAACGCAGGGGGCTCCCAACTTGGCAATGTTAAGAATGATGGACTTCAACTCCCAGAATAAAAAAGATGTTGAGACTCTAGAAAGAGTGCAGAGAAGAGCAACCAGGATGATTAGGAGACTGGAGGCTAAAATATTACAAGGAACGATTGCAGGACTTGGGCTTGGCTAGTCTAGTGAAGAGAAGGACCAGGAGAGACATGATAGCAGTCTTCCAATACTTGAGGGGCTGCCAGAGAGAGGAAGGGGTCAAGCTATTTTCTAAAGTAGTGATTGCCAACCAGTGGGCTGGGGACCACTGGTGGTCCACGAGAAAATTTTGGTGGTCTTCAGAGAAATGTCACCCCCAAAACACCTCCCAAAGCAATTAATCCAGGCTGTATGGGAACACAAGGCTGTGCCGCCCACATGGCCCGCGGGAACACATGGCCCACGGGAAAATTCTTATTAGTGGTCCATGGGATTTAAAATTATGAGTTTGGTGGTCCCTGAGGTCCAAAAGGTTGGAGACTCCTGTTCTAAAGCCCCCAAAGACCAGACAAGGAATAATGGATGGAAACTGAACAAGGAGATTTTCAACCTAGAAATAAGGAGAAACTTTCTGACAGTGAGAACAATCAACCCATGGAACAGAAGTTGCCTTCAGAAGTTGTGGGAACGCCATCACTGGAGACTTTCAAGAAGAGATTGGACTGCCATTTGTCAGATAACAGATCATCAGAGTTGGA